ACATTCATTGACTCATCATACGGAGAGCTTTCAGAAGTAAAGCAATATATCCAAGTGTGTATTGATCCTTTAGCAGGAGCACTCAGAGGTTCGAAGCTACTGGCTGTCTAAACTTGAGCTGAACACATATGTGAAGAAAGACTGCATTGTACAGAGTAAGTTAGCTTATGATAATTTATTTTTCAAATCATGGAGAGAAGCCAGTATTTGACCTTAAAAAACAAAGCCACAAATAATCTAGAAATGGTATTTAAAGATCTCATTGCCATGGAGTCGGAACTGACTCAGAGCTGACCTTCCAGTGGGTTTTTAGAGGCTGTACCTTACACAGGAGGAGACTGCTTTTGGATTTGAACCGGCCACCTTTACGTTAGCAGCGCAATTCCATACAGACTATGCCATGGTATACTCTGTATAATATTCTAGGTAATCACTACAGTAAATCTGGTTTTCTTTTATTATGTCAACATTTTCAAAAACAAAATAATTGCTTTTAGGAGAAAATTTTTCCATTCAAATTTTGCCTTTTTTTAAAAAAAGGAGTCAACATTAGACAGTATACTGAACCCAATGGAAGAAATTATGTGCAAAGAAAGAGAGAGAACTTCTGTTCAGGAAACGCAGTCTCAGGAAATAAACCAAAAGAACCACCTGATTTCTCAGGTCTTTCTCATTAAATCCAGGACCTTTGTGCAAGGTGACTTGCAGGAAGTGTTCATCTTGTGGGCCAGAGGCTAAAGGTCCCAAGAAGGAAGCATTATTTGATAATCATTGTCACCAAATGCATCTCTCTCAAGCCTTGAAAGATGACAGACAACAATGAGGGAAAGTTTGAAAAACTATACTGTCAGAATGATCTGTGATTTCATTAGTAGCCATCTCTCACAATTTTGTAGGGGTGGGGAAATGCCCTGGCTACTTCAAGGATGTCCAATAAATGAAATTAATGCAGAGAGGCAGAATAGCTCAAAAGAGAATCAAAAGTGGTCTCTACTTCCTACCTAGTACCTCACCCACTCGGTCAATAAGCAAATCTTCTAAAGAGCACTACGTAAGTTCCTTTAAAGGGCGCCTTTTGGCTTTGGAGATGCAATTCACAAAATGTATATTCAGAAATAAATGCATACACTGAATGAGTCTGGCCTTGAGAACCCTATTCTGTGTGTACCTTAATTCATCCATTTGCCTGTGAGAACTTCCCATTTCCTGCTTTGTGACCTTTCTCTCCCTTGAAACGCCTACCTTTCTTCCTGGGGATTATTCAGTTTTTACTGATTCATACCCAAAGGTCATCTTTGAATTTTATTTGCTACTGTGTCTAAAATCATGTGCTGTGAGGCAGGCGGAGGGGGTGACAAGGGGGATGAAGCTGGACTCTTTAGCGAAGGAGACGACCACAGCTTTCTCTCATGGAGTGGCTGGTGGGTTCGAACTTCAGACCACAGAGACACTAAAAACCTCTCAGAAAGGTTCTATTATCTCCACTTTACAGATGAGGCAACAGAGGCTACGACAGACTACCTAACTTAAGAGTGAGCAGTGGAGTTAGACTCAGGATCCACGTAAATAGAAATTCCAGCTCCTAACCAAAGCGTTCCCATGTATATTTTCTTTGTCAGTGTAATTCAGTGTGGAATATTATCTATAAAGACATACATGCATGCACAAAGTTCAGAAATACTACTTAAAGATTCAAAGATATTAGGCCAAATGTGTCACTATAACATTAATATTTCCTTTACTGATCTAATATATTTGAGAGGGATGTCAAACCATTTACTTGAGACCTTTTTGGGGGGGGGGTGTCAAGAAGTGAGGACAATGAGGTCCCATGATCGCTGTCCTGTAAGGATTTCCTGGATCTTGCAGGCGTCATACACTACTGAGCTAATATTTTCAGATGACCTCTCGATTATCTGCTGCTGCTAGTTTCAAAGTTGAGCTTTATAAATCATGACATTCCAGAATAAAAGAGTAAACCCGTGTACTAGTCAAAGGATTGGGATCAGAGGACTTTCCAGAGATGGAAGAGGGTTGGTAGGTGGGTGAAGGACGTGGGGGCAAAGCAATGAAGCAGAATTATTAGGCTCTAAAGCGACAGGCTTCAGAGCTTCTGTTCACAGGCTCGCTATGAGTCCTGCTCCATTCAACGGCACCTAAGAACAACTAACAAAAAGATGGGATCATTCTTCTTAGAACCAAGTAATCAACTATCATACTAGAGGTTGCAAACATTTACCATGTAAAGGGCTAAGCAGTGACTGGGAGTCCCTGGGGGTACAGACAGTCAACAAGATCAACTGCTAACTGAAAGAATGGCGTTTGAGTCCACTCAGGAGAAAGGCCTAGCGATCTGCTACGGATACGCATGGGATCACTGTGAATTAGAATCAATTAATGTCAAACAGTTTTTGGGTTTTGGATTTTTAAAGTGCCAACTTATGATTTATTAAAGAAACACAGGGCTTTGGATATCTTTTTCTCCCCATCAGACTGAGAGATTTAATCAACTAATCTCAATATTAAAAGGCTGTGAACCCCAGCAGACTTCTTGACTACACTAGAGAAATCCAACTATCTAGAGAGAATGATTTTGCACCGCTAGAACCATCGTGTAGACAATGATACAGGGGAACCTACCTTCAAACTAACCCTGAGTCGATCAACGTGTGCAGGCAGCTAACTCCCTGACTTGACATCAGCCTGCAAAACCTGTTATTGCCCGTAATGAAAGATCATATATGCTAATCATAACACCCAGTCAGATGCTTGATGACAGTTGCAAAAAAAAAAAAAAATCATGATACAGAGACTTTTTTTTTTTAGTTAAACTTGACACATTTTTCTTTAGGAAACCTGATTGGCTACTCTAGATGCTGTGAATTATATAAATTGGACTGAAAGTTGGGAGAAAGCTAAGCGATCAAGCATCCTTGAGCTTCCCAAAGAAACTACTGGAACAAGTTCAAAGGTATGTGGATTTCACTCCTAACTCGATAGCCTTTCGTTTTGCTTACTTCTGGCTTTGGATTTCCTGTTTAATTGATGCAAATGTATTCCACATTTTTAATACTCTATGCCATCACTATTTAGTCACCTCGCCAGCTGGGCTGTAATGATTTTAGACTGGATTGCTTAAATGCATTCTTTCACTGCACAATGCACCAACGTGTTGACAGTGCTTTTAACTTTTCATTCCTAATGCTCAGAGCACTATCTAAGGCCCAGGCAAAATGTTTCTTTTAATTACTGAGCAATTAAGATGTAACTTTCAGAGGCTGTGATTCACAGTACTTTGACGAACATTTTGTTTAATTGCATCAAATAGAGCCATCAGCTCAAGGTTTACATCCTATTTCTCGCCTCATTAATTCAGCCTTTAAAAGGGGGGATTTAAAACCACCCCCTCCAAAAAAAACCACAACCAAAACAGCCCAGTGGTACCCAAATGTTCTCCAGGCTTCCTGGAGCCAAGAGAAGGGTGGGTGACCTCCTCAAACATCTGTCCTAGACCATAAATTCCCCTGAAGACTTCATAGAATTATAGACCAATTTTGCTTAATGTCTGCCTTGCGCAGTTGTCTTTTTAAACGACCCATCTATCTATATGGGATCAAACTGACGCAACTCAAAGGATGAGTTAAGGACCTGAGGGGGAAATGAGTGCAGGTGAGTGGGGGAAGAGCAATTTACTCGGAGAGGGAGAGGGAGAGGGAAACGGTTGCACAACCCAAGAATGCCACCAATGTAGCTAAAGGCTACATGGAAAAACTCTTCAATTGGTGCGTGTTCTTCTGGGTGTAATCTCAACAACAAACTGAGTCATATTAACAAACAGAAAGTCCCCATACCCCCAACACACCAACCCAGATGTAGGCAGTAGAAAAATCTTAATGCTGGTGTTGACTGCTTATTTCATAGTCGCTAGCTATATAAAATAAAAATAATCTCTGCTCTAAGGACAGCTTTCAATAGTTTGTCAATAGTTTGGCCCATAAAGCCAAGTACCTATTTTCAGGAAACCTGCCATGTTTCATGTTCCAGGGGATGCTATTTGTGGAGTCCATCCACTGTGGCAACAGGTAGAAAGGAGATGTGACAGATTAGAGATGGAATCGTTCCAAATTAATGGAGGATTCCAGAACATTTGCCTGTCTTCATGCTTCCATTCAATCTCTACTTCTGAGGCTCAGAGCTGAACTTGCAGGACTTGCCAGAAAACCTCCAGGGTTGAGCCACCAAGAATGAATCAAGTCTCATTTAATCCCTTTTGGCAAATAACTTAATGTCTTTTCTCAAATGATTAGACTCTGCTGCTATGGTTGGTTGTTTTATTTTTGTTTTGAATAGTAATAATGCCTGGGAACATCACAAAAATATTTCTATTTCTCCTTGTTCTACAAGCACAATATTCAAAGTCCAGTAGCCATGAGTGAATTCTAATTCCTGTGACTGCTTTTGTGCATCCAGAGGAAAACTGTGCTCCATAAGGTTTTCAAGGGTTGATTTTTCTGAAGTAGATTGCTAAGGCCTTTCTGCCACAGTGTCCCTGGGTGGACTCAACCCTTCAACCTTTTGGTCTGTGCACAAGAGGCATAACAACCTTGACAATCTCATCAACTTTTAGAGACCACTTTGTTCCTTGAGCCAGTAATTGCAAATTACGTTTTGATTCTCCGGCTGTGCAGGCTGTATGCAGGTACAGGGAAATGACAAGGGAACTCATGTAATGATAGACTATTCACATCCTTCCAACGTGTTTGCCTCACCACTCAAATTAAAAGCATCTTTATCACTATGGTGACTTCAAAAACAAGAAAATAGGCTGAGGGCTAGGACTCAAATATGAATAATGTAACCTCACAAAGCCCAGCCCCATCCTTTTCTGTAACAGCAATAGACTAATGTGGATGATGTGTTTTGCGGAGCCATAATTATGCTCAGGTCTCAGAAGCAATATGAAGAGCAGGCGTTGTGTTCTGTTTCAGGGTCATCAAGCAATGGGGACCTGGATTTTGTTTGCCTGCCTCCTCGGAGCAGCCTTTGCTATGCCAGTGAGTACCTTGGTCCTGTGTTATGTACGGTTTCACCAGCCTGGTCATAAACATCTAAACATGCTAGGTCAACTTTAGGTTCAAAACACATTGCGTCTAGAGACTCTCAGGGAGCTGGTTCAAGAATGAGATTTGGGGAAGCTTACCACACAAAAGATTCCAATTCCATACAGCCAGGGTGAGGCCTAGGACTATATATGTAAACAAGCACTTCAGGAGATCCTGTCAGGGGAAGGTCCGTGTACCATGCTTTGAGAAACAAATGAGCCCGTCTCAAGCTAAAGGAGTCTGAAAGTCTCAAGATGGAGGAGACTTTCAGACGGGACACTTGAAAGGGTGCCCATGACTTAGGCTAATGCTATGAGGAAAAATGCCAGCTTTTTCTTAAACCTAATTCCTGGAAAGTTCCCAACTTTCCCCTTGCCTTCCAAATGCCCCTATGGATCTTGTTCTGTGTCAGGGATGCTCGCTCTCGAAGCATCTTTCTGTCACTAGGACCCCCAACCTTTGGGTGTATCCATTAACCATGTGGCTTCTGCAGGGCTGCCCAGCCTCAGATCTGTGCCCATTAAATATTGATCCATTTTCAATTCAAATGGACTAAAGACTAGGAAGTCTAACCCAATCTCCCAGACAGGAAAAAAAGCGTAGATTCCCCCACAGGCAATGCAAGTCCAGCTGCTTTTTGGTGGCACATAGAGTAGTTGATACAACCAGAGGCCAGCACAGCTTGCCTATCTGCCTCCTCTCCTCTTCTCTTAGCCACAAGGCCAAAGTCCTCTGCTCTATCTTCCTGAAGTGCTGCAAAGTGACACCTCCAAGGCCCCCAAGGGGCCCAGGCCTTACATATTCAGACCTTTTCCAAGCCTCAATTCAACATCCTATGCTGCTGCTCTTGGGTTTCCTTGAAGGAGGCTAGGAAAAGTGATTACTTGATGAATTCACACCCAGATGAGAATGAATAAAATCTGCCATAAAGTAGGAGTCTTTCTTGAAGACTCAAGCTAACTGTGGCTAAGCTGGTTGTCTGCGGAAAGTTTCTTTGCTCCCTGTTCACTCTCTCTTCTTTTGCTTACACTCTAGGGCTAACCAGAATTCCATCTGGTGCCCACGTAAGACAGGACAGAGTCCTGCTTTAGATCAGTATTCAGGTTGCTTTTTGCTTTGAACTTTGAAAAATCTTCTGCCTTAAAAATGTTGCCGGAATCATGAAATGAATTGGCCTAAATTTCCTTAAACCAACTCTGCTCTTTTCCTGGGACTGTTTATTACTTTACAACACCTTCAACTTTACGGCATCCCAGGTGGCTCTCATGGTCATAGAAAACTAGTACCTAGTACCTAGCTGCATTATCTCTTCTTTGTGGATGATGCATTTGTTTGGGGGGAGTGTATGCCAATAAGGAGCAATCTCTTTACTACTTCAGCATGTACCTCCTCTTCGACAAAGGAAAGGTTGGGAGAGAATTCTCCACGAGTTGGTATGTTGTCACTATGTGAGAGAAACATGCCTCTCTTTTCAAGTTGGACTGAGTTGTGGCAAGTGAAATGGTTGAAAGGGTAGGACAGCATTCATTGACAACATGGTGTTTCCAAAGAGCACTGGAGGATGTATGCTGGTCTTTGCTTCCAGAAGTTTCTTGCACTATAAAACTATAATGCTGAGAGAAACCAGGTAGCTGTTTTGAACCCTCTTAGAATAAGAAGGTGCTCCTTCTAAATAGTGTTTAAGTTTAAGCTAAAAGTAGACCTCAAATACATTCTGCGCATTAAAGATTTTTTTTTTTTAATTGGGAATAGCTTCAGTTTCCCTTAATGTAAAACAATTGCATATTGACTTAATCTCTCCCTCTCTCTCCTTCTCGTCTCTTTTCACCCCCTCCCTAAAAAAGCTCCCGCCTCATCCTGGGCACCCTGGTTATATCAACTTCAGCTATGAGGTAATTTTTCTCTTTACTATTTTTGACCACTGTTTTAAGTTAACAATGCCTTGGGCTCTGTCAAGAATAGTGTATTGAGTCTTCATTCAGAATATTTCTCAAAGGGTTCCACTTTTCAGTTCCTGTGACTTAAACTTCTCAGGTTAAGCCCTGACGGGTCAACTAAAGCCTGCATTGCCCCACCTCCTTCCTGGCCCTTCTACTCAAGGCTCTCCTCTTACTTAAGGCTATGAAATTCTCCATCATGAAGTACCATTTAGCACAGCCTGCATGATAGGACACAAAGTGAACTGGGACTGAACTGGGACTCTAGCCCACCTTAGAAAATGTGGGGACTGAGTAAGATGATTAAAGGTCCTTTCCAGCTTGAAAACCCCTGATTCTAAGACATTTGCATTCTGTGTGTCTCCCTCACCTGTGGCGTGATTAGAAAGATTAGGGACGGGCCTCTGAGAGATCCCACAGTGAGTTGGAAAGAGGGTTCTGGTATCCAGTTTGAGGCTCTCTTCAATTTCATACTAACCACACGTGACCTTGAAGAACCAGTGTTCTCTCAATGGAACTTTAGTCTCCACATCTAGAACAGGAAAAGAATAATAAACACACCTGAAAATGTTACCTGGGAGTTAATAAGTATGGAAAATGCTTGGTCATGCTCAGTAATTGTTATGTTGGATTGGTTAAAATGTCATCTTACTATGTGAAGGAGCCCCTGAACCCTAAATATATACTGCTCATGGTGGAATGAAACGTACTGCTCTTGTTGGTTCAGGTAACGGTCTGTGACTCATACAAGTGGAAAATATGTTAACACGAATTTGGGGCAAGGCTTTCTCTTCAGTTTAGAAGGTTGACATATTTCAACAGGAAACCTGTGTCTCTAGGACAAGGGACAGTGCTTCTGCTTCCTTTTTATTTATTTCACTGTGACAGCAACTCGTAAAAGACAGAATAAATATTGTGTCACATTGTCATTATTATTATTTGCTCTTGCAAAGAAGAGCAGAGGCTGTGGGGTTAAACAGACTGACGACTCCTTTAGTAACCCCAGGGAAGTGAACGAGCCTTTCTCTGTAACTCCCCATGACCTTGTCTGCTGAGCCGACAGGGATGTTCCTTGCATCACTCAGAGCATGAAAGAAAAAAGCACGAGTCAGGCCTGGGATGAATGCAGTACAGTGCCTGACACAGGGCAGGCCCCCGGCAAACGCTTACCTTCTTGTCTGTAGAAGCCACAATTTCAGACTACCTACCACTCCTTCCAGGAGTGTTGGAATGACATTCTATTTTGTGACCCTAAATTAAATCCATGTCTCCTTCTCTTTAGGTGCTCACCCCTTTGAAGTGGTACCAGAACATTATAAGGCAGCCGGTACGTAGTGACTTTGTTCTTTGTTCCCTGAAAATGTTAAGCCTTCGTCTAAATCCCCTGATTAAGTGATCTAGACGGCCTCCTCCACACTCAGACACTAATGGGAAATTTTGTTGTAGTGTGTTCAACCAACCAACCAGTCGCCAAGGAGTCGATTCCGACTCATGGCAAACCCATAAGTGTCAGACTAGAAACGGTGTGTCCGTAGGGCTTTCAGTGTCTGTGTGCACAGTCAGAGATCCCGGCGAAGGGTTAAATGTGAAAGAAAGATTGAGATGGTCTAACGACAAAGAAAGCATTGCTACTTGTCCCGTTGGAGGTCGACGGAGCCAGTGGTAACCGTGACTCTCTGTTTCTCACCAGTACCCTTCCTATGGTTACGAGCCCATGGGTGGATGGCTGCGCCACCAAATCGTCCCTGTGCTGTCCCAACAGCATCCCCCGAGCCACACCCTGCAGCCTCATCACCACATCCCCATGGTGCCCGCTCAGCAGCAGCCCGTGGTCCCCCAGCAGCCAATGATGCCAGTTCCTGGCCAACACTCCATGACTCCAACCCAACACCACCAGCCACACCTCCCTCCGCCCGTCCAGCAGCCCTACCAGCCCCAGTCCGTCCAGCCGCAGCCTCACCAGCCCATGCAGCCAATGCAGCCCATGCATCCCATGCATCCCCAGCAGTCCATGCACCCCATGCAGCCCTTGCCGCCACAGCCACCTCTGCCTCCGATGTTCCCCATGCAGCCTCTGCCCCCCATGCTCCATGATCTGCCTCTGGAAGCGTGGTCAGCAACTGACAAGACCAAGCGGGAAGAAATAGTAAGTGTACCTTAAAACCAGCAAAGTCTGGGTCCTGGGGAGATGGGGAGGCAAAACTGGCCCCCAGGGTATGGTAGCTCCAGGTCTAGGATCCTACTAGTCCCAGGCATGGAGTCTAACTCTACATGGTACACGTGCTAATTTACTGCTCAGTAATTTAAGACTCAAGCTTTTATGGAGGGCTCAAACTCTTATAAACAGTTTTAATTCCAACCAGAGTAAATATGATCTATTCATTTTAAGGGTAACACAAGAAGGGCATATCAGCCCTCCTACTGTTTCAAGGGGTTGCCTAGGAAAATTTGTCTAGAATTGCCCCAAGATATCACAAAGGTGATCTTTGAGAGATAAAAAAGAGAAATATTTGAATAGACCACAAAAGAGAGGTGAGAAATCTCTTTAAAAACTTTAGGGAAGAACACTGGGATATTCTAGGGAAAAGGAAATCTAATTTAATTTGGAGACAGTGAAATTAGACAGACTGTAAGATATTCTTTGTCTTTTTAAGATATTCTTTTAGTGCTAGGATTCAAAAGACTATATTTTCAGCAAGAGTTTTTCATAATTAACCTCAAAATCCCCTTCAAGTACAAGAAGTTTTTCAAAGTAAATGGGAAATAGTCACTGAGGTGACTTCAGCTGCATCCACAAACCCTCACTGCTGCATACAGCAGACTGGGATTCCACAATGTATGAATCCTACAGGGGATTTGCTACTGAGAAGGGGGAGTGTTGTGACACAAATTACTTGTTTTGGGTACTGGAGGGGAACATCTACACGCCTAGATTCTATCTTGGCTTTACTCTAAGAAGGAGAATGGTATTATTTATATTACTCCAAGTTCATGGTTATCTGTATTCCCTTCTACAAAATGAAGGCAGGATGACTCGGTCAGCTAATTTTCAAATTTCTTTCCAAGTACAAATATCATAGCATTACAATGAAAATAACATATATTAATTATAACTATAGTATATACCATATGAAGCATCACAATTATGAGAATATTTATAGAGAATATGAAACAGAATTCTTAAATATTGATTACAACCCAAATAATCTGGTACCCATAGTTTATTATTTTAGTCACCCTTTGTGTAGAAAACACCAAGTGTAGAAAACATACAGTTGTTTATTACTAACTATGGCTATAGATTTTACACTGTGCTTATACTTTACCAAAACTTTTTATGGACAGGTGATTTGAAAAGAGTAGTTTCAAATCATTAAAATACATTTCCTTCCTGTGAAAAATATTAATAGAAATCTTGATACCTCTTCCAAAAATTGTTTAATGGGAAAGAAAATGAAACGATTCAGTCAGTATCTGGCATATTGGAAGCACTCAATGAAAGTAGAAAGGTAGCCAGTGTTTGGTTATGAATGGATTACGGGGTGAGCATCCTACAATCAAGGGTCTCCTTAATGGGCATCTCAGGTTTAATTACAATGAAATGGCATAGAGATGTTGAAAGTTATGGAGTATAGCTTAAATTGCTGCATATTGATTTAGCAAAAGTGTAGCTGTGTTATTACATGTGATACTCATGAGGGATATTTGTCATTTATACTAATTGTGCCTTTTGCCATATCTTTCCTCCCTCCCCCAGGATTAAACGACCAGACACTGACAGAACTGAACCTGATACCTGAACGACCCAAGAGCAAAGTGATTTGTGTCTACAATCAACTTTCCCTATGAAATGCTCTAACAAAAATGAAGTGGCATTAGCAGACAATAAAAATGTTTTAAAAAATTATTCATGCCTTTGTATTAATTTGAACTTAAAATTTAAATTCATTAAAGGAGCACATAAAAATTGTTCTGGAGTGGGGTTTGAAATGCCTAGTAACAATCTATACATTAGCTATTTTGCAGACAACTTAAGCGTATTTCCTTTTAGAGAAAATTGAAAGAATATGCTCTCAAATCTTTTTTCTTTACAATGAGCACTATAAATAATTAACATGCTTTGCTAATAACCAAAAGGTTGGAGGTTAAAGTCTGCCCAGAAGCAAGTTGGAAGAAAGAACTGGCTATCTACTTCTAAAAAATCAGTCACTGAAAATCTTCTAGGGCACAGTTCTACTCTGACATACATGAGGTCTTCATGAGTCTGAGTTGATTCAATGGCAGCTGGTAGTAGTGGTTATAGTATGTATCAGAATAACAACCAATTGCAAAAGAAGTAGATGCAATGTGGAGATGGCCAGGTTTGACTAGTATCCATCACAGCAAACAAACAGCTGCCAGATCAGACATACCACCTCCCATGCCTCTGCACCTATTTCCACAAATCACTGGGTTCGATATTCATTGTTGACACACGCTTTACTCAAAGTTGTGGTACCAAGGGTGGGGTTTATTAGTGGAATATGTTAGGGAGTGGGAGAGGCAAAGAATATCTCACAATGCAAATGCAGGTTTAGTCCAGTAGTCCTAAATCAAATTAACAGCAAAACACAATTCCCTAATTAGTAAAATTCCTGGTTTCAGTTCTGCAACACAAATTCAAGAAACCTCTGGTTTCCTCAATCATCCAGCAAGGTTTGCCTCAGAGCAGTTATAAGTCAGCTTCTCCATCAATCATTTGGCAAGAAAAGCAAAACCTTTAACTCTGATCAGCACAAATCCAAGAAGCCCCAGGTCATATTTTGCCACAGTTTCTCCACAGCAAAGCCACAGTCTCTCCACCACCCTCACCAGGGTCTCATCCTCACCAGGGTATTGCTCCAATCTCGCTCAAGTCTTGGGATCAGTGTGGGAAGCACTCTGTCTCTTATCCTAGTCCCACAGTTGATTATTTGCAAGTCCATGTGTCTGCAGTTAAGGGAGTTGGAGACCAGAGGGCGCTAAATTGATGGCTAGAAGAGCTAACTTTTAAGCTAATACTACACTGATAAAGTGAAAAATTGTTAACATCTACAGTCACTGAATCGGAATCAAGTTAAGAGAAAGTTTATATGAAGAATTCCTTACATCGAAAAAGATACACTCTTTAGAAAAAAAATGTTTATATTACAAAACAAATTACAACAAGGAACACAGTTTCTATATGTCACATCATATTACTAAACAGAATCTGGACTTTTGATCTCATTCTCCTAAAGTACTTTTTTTGCAAAAAAAATTAAGTGATATGTGTATGAAATTTAAAAGACCAGAAAGAATTAGTTTCCTTAAGAAAACTTTTATTAAGTGAAACTTCAAACAGAAGAGCATCACTGAGATTTCATATATAAGTTGTTTCTTTCACTTCATAAGTGTCGACATCATAAGTTCTACTGCATTGTCTTCCAAAAGCATATAATGTACGCAAAACAAATTTTCTTTCCCACTCATATTTATATTTGAATCCCTTTTTCCTCCTACACCCACACAGAATTGTAAACAGACTGTGCAGGGTTTATATTACACAGTGCCCACAGTGCCTTTCTTCCAGTACCTTTATGATTATGGCCGCTTAATCATTTTCTGGAATGAATAAACATAGCTTTCCTGAGAGGATGTCAATATTCAAACAACTGACTTGATTTTAAGGCACTTAGATTCAATTGGGGACAAGGGTGGGGGGAGAGGTAAGAAAGCTTGTAATCACTTGGTATGGGCCAATTCTATCAATTCAGTCAATGTTTATTAAGCACCTGTTGGAGCAAGGCATAAGTACTGATGAGAATAATAAATCCTCATCCTTAAGGAATCTAGAAATTGACAAAGGGATAAAATAAGATCACACAAAACTATAAGACAAGGTCTAATAGTATCAAGAGAGCTCTGGTGGCCTAGTGGTAAGTATAAAGATGGGCAACCTACTCCCATGTGAAGTATTGCCTCTCAAAACCCACTGGAGGGTCAGCTATGAGTCAGTTCTGATTTGAGAGCACATAACAACACCACTATCACTACAGTATCAATATTATGATACGGGGACAGTCAATATAAGCCACCCTATATATGGCAGACATCTTAGCTGGTTGCCTGGCAGTGTTTCCCATCACTCTTTTCCTGTTGGCAGAGCTTGAATGAATCCAATCCGCCAGCCATCTAACTCAAGACAGTGACCCACCTCCTATGTCCCAAGGAGTGCATATCCATCCCTCCCTATCAACTACAGAGCCAATTACTATTGCCAGTCTAAGGATGGGGGTGGGCTGGGACTGGAACAACAAATGAAGCCAAAAGAAAAATCAGGAGAAAGGAGTATTGGAGATAAAGACTTCTCTTTTCTTTGCTTCAAACAAAATATGAGTTAGGGAAAAAGTGTTTGTCTGTCTTTAAATCTGTTTGAGGATATGATGACTAGAGCTGTGATGGCCATCTTGTGACCAGGAGGGGCAAGTGAAAAGATGAAAAACTCTGGGTCTTTGATTGTCTGCCTATGTCCTTGAATTAATCAACTTTGGGACCCTCTCTCTAAGGTTCCCTGGTGGCACAGTGATTTAATACTTAGCCCTGAACGGAAAGGTCAGTAATTTGAACCCAACAACTGTTTCTAAGAAGACGTGACAGTTTGCTTCTGTCAAGGTCACAGCCCTGAGAACAGGATGGGACAGTTTCTCTCTGTTCCTACAAGATCAAAAAAGTGGAAATAGATTCAACAGCAACATGCTGGTTTTTAGTTTGTATTGGTTTTGGGGGTCTTTTGAGGGTTTGGCTTTTTTTTTTTTTTTAATGGTGGTTGTCACCATCTTCCTAGGTGGCTGATACACTCTTTCTATGCTATTGCTTTTCAATTGTGGATCATATCCAATTAATCAATTATGAGCTAATGTACGAGCTAATTATGAGCCTGCAATGATATCTTCTCTAATGATGCCAAGTTTATTGGGCCAAGACTAATGAGAATTATCTTGCTGATGACTTGATTAAAGAAAAAGCTCTCAAGAAAGTTAGACATTGATGCAGGTCCCAGTGAATGATCCAAAATAGACCATAAATCTATGAAAATACTACCATGGCAGTCTTCCTCAGTGGACACTGTTCATCTCATTAAACAAACTATCGCTGAGGGGA